TATTCCCATTCTGCAAGTCAGCAGACTGTGCCAAAATCATGTTCCTAGAGTCACTTCTATCGAGTGCTAGTTGGTAGATTATGTATTTCTGATCTACCGCTTTACACATGAATTTTGCAGTTTTGCACTTCGGTAGAACGTTCCATAACAGCCGTACACCACTTTTGGCAATGCCATCTACTATCTTGTTGCCCTCGATGACTTTGTGACCTTGCACCCAGTGGAAATGAAGGCGCCTGTTTCTGGTAACACTCTTCACTGCTGCCCTACTTCCCATGACACTTCTGACCGATATGCGAAACGAGATTATTGCCTGGCTTGTTCCTAATCGACAAAGCTCTACTGTATCGTTGATAAATAATACAGATTTTAGGGACCGGTTTGATAGTGTAGGTTAACAATGTGGTTATGCTTAGGTTAGTAATGTGATCAGAACTTTTTAAAGGTAAAATCTGGGTTCGTGGTCAAACTCTTAATCGAAATATGTATGTTAGTACCGACCGCACCTCACTGGGCGATGTCAAGCCGCTGATGTGGAATAACTTCTGTTCTCTACTTTATAACATTCCATCTAATTGACTTTAAGTAATCTATGAAGCACTTTGGAACTATGTGAGGAGCTTTAACAATTTCAATCACCTCTAAGCTCAAAACCCATATGCATTTTATTCCGATACAAAATCACTTAGCTTTATTCACAATTATTTGTACGTAATTTTTATATTGAAAGAAATGCCTTTTAACTACTTAGTATATGTATGTATGTACAAAAAATAATATTGAACATCCCCTATCATATTTACTTTCCTGTTTGATGCATTGAAGCGTTGCCACTGATTACTTTTAATTTCACATTGTAAAACACTTAACATTCCAACACAGTGTCATAACTGATTAATGACACTTCGCCTCAATATGGGTGTGTGTGCGTGTGTGATTGCGTATGCGTGTATGTGGGCTGGACAAATCTGTCAATTCACTGACAAATGCAGTTGATGGAAATATAATACCAGCGCTGAATGCTGCTCGCTTTTCTAAGTTTTCCATACTCTCACTGTCCATTCTTGCCACCACAAGTGCTCTGCCTTTCCTACTGCACTTCCTACTTTCCTTCTTACGCTTACTGCTCGTAGAAACCGTTAGCTGCGCGTTGCGGCGAATGGACTTGTTTGCGCAGCAGATTTCGCTTTTTCTAAGCATTTTTTTTTTGTTTTTTTTACTTTTTCTACTCACAAACTATAGCGTTTTTACAGCTTCTTGCATGGACAATGCCTCACAATTATTATGTTGCATGAGTTGGCAACAGTTGCCACATTGCACTTGACGCAGTGAGTTGGTGTTTTGGGCGACAGCCAAGGCCAATTGCTGAACGGTGACCAAGGTGTTGCAGTGGCACTAACAGCGGTTGTTGTTGCTTTTATTATTATTGTATACGATGTTTTGTTGTTATTGTAGTTGCTGTTTCTGGAGTTTTGGTTGTTGTTGTTTTTATTTTATTTTGTAGTTTTTGTTGTTGTTGTTGTATTTAGCACCGTAAAGCGCTTTGGTTGGCTGCCAATGGTCAAGTGTCGCTCACTTTCAAGCTACTGGCTGCACACACAGACACACACATTTACAGCAATGAAATGACAGTGGAAGTGTCATGCTTGCGGTCAGTTTCCTGCGGCAGCATCGCATATTGCATTGTCATCGCCACCATCAGCATCACAAGCATCGCCATCATCATCAGCAGCAGCAGCGGCAACAGCGTAAAGTGTTGCCGCGTGGTCGTTGCCATCAAAGTATTTGCAACAATTCCACACGTGTTGCATGCTTTACATGGGCGACGTCTTGCACCTTGCCACAACGGCAGCAGTGCAACGACAATTGCTGCAACTCAATTAAATTCTTTTACGGTAAAATCTCTAAGCATGCAATTGCTATGGCGGCGCTGACAGTACCACTACACGCGCACACACACACCGACGCGAAAGCACACTAACTACGGTAGTAATTTGCATAAATACCCACACACACACACACATGCGCGTGTTGCTAATGATTCAATGCGCGATGTAAGGCAAAATATTTGCGACGGAATTTAATTGTCGTGATGTTGGTGTTGCATGCAACAATGCAATTTCCATTCAATTCATTCACTTCTCTGTTTGTTGTTTTTGTTTCGCGTTGCAAGTGCAACTTGTACTCGTATCCGTAATAAATCGATTTGGCTTCACCTTTTATTGCCACCGAAATCCAGTTCATTTATTAACTGTGCGATTTTATGCTTTTTACGTTCACATACACACACACATATATATATATATATATATATGCAGACATCCTCTTAACCTCATATAACTATTTGCCGCATCATCATCCAGTTTTCGCCAATTTGCACCAATTTCACTGCACTTGCCTCTGTGCGGTCGCTGCTCCGTTAACGAGCGCACTCATATTTAGAACGCAATTAAAATACAGTTATTTTCGGCATTTGTTAACACAGAAATATTTCAATTGATTCGCTTCTTAACCTTAATTTTTGCAGTGGTCTCGTTAAATATTTGTTTGTTTTGGCTGCCTTTTACTGATGCTTACTTTTTAAATAATTCGAATAGTTTCTGTTCTGGGAATATCGTTTAAGTGACAAATACAAAGTCTCCGGACTACATTCAACACACTGAGCAGCTCATGGTGCACCTCCAGAAACTAGGATATAATATGAGCATCTACATGCACTTCCTCTTCAGCCATTAACAGATCGCTTTCCAAAAAAATTTAGACGACTTAAGCGAAGAATAAGGCGGACGCTTTCATCAGGACATTCACACTATGGAATATGGCTATACCATGGTGGTTGGAATGCAAATATGATGGCTGATTACTGCTGGAGCATTCAAAACAAGACTGATGTTTCTACTCATGCAAGAAAAGCACATTAAAGATAGTTCTTTTTCATGTCTAGTTGGGGCAATATATTTTATAATTCTAAAATTGTAGTATTTTTGGCTAAAAATGTAATATGTTCATATTTCGAAAACTAGAGCTACTAGAGAAAAACTGCTAAGAATCAACGTGACAACATCATACAAAATCTGGTAAGAAAATTCATAAAACAAAACTATTGTTTTCCAATGTAAGGTTTTTCGTTTTTAGTTGAGTGGAAAAAAATATTTTAATTATTATCAAATGTTCATATATCTATGCCGTATATGTGCTTTGCTCTCTTTTTTCATAAAGTTTAATTCACAAGAATTTGAAAGCGTTAAAGTTTTGAATATTACAATTATCACGAACATTGTTTGAAAATTGTATTTAAACACAGTCCTTCTCTATAAAATTTGAAGGTCCTTTGAAAGTAAAAATACAGTCGTTTGAAAAATATAACAACTGAAATCTTATACCTTGTTTCGAAGCCACATATAAGTGAATCGTATGTGTTGTAGTTGCCGAGAAAAATCGTTGCCCGTTTTGAAAAGTGGAGTTTCCAGAAAAAAAAACTAAATTTTACGTGCTGAAACTGATTAAGATAAACGCTTCGACACTATAGCGGATTAGAAAGGAAATTTATTTTTCCAAATAATGTTTTTAGGACTCTTTAATGCATTTTTGGACTGCCCTATGACCATAATTGTGCACTTGAAAAAATTTCCCCCCTGAGTGTTCTCAAGTTAGCATAAAATGGGTTAAGTAGCTTATTGTCTGATGAGCTAATGTAAAAGTATCCGAGAAAGAATATGTATGTTTAGAAATATGTGACATTTCGTGTTTTCTGTGTAATTCAAGATTGCTTTCTAAATTCGAATGTATTTGTGTACAATATTTTTTATTTTTGTGGTAAGATCAATTAATTTATACAATTTGTTATTGCGCATTTAATTTCAGAAGTTTTCGTTTTCATGATATTATTATGTAAGTAGGCTTAATTCGTGTAAAACAAAACATATTTTTATGATCTGACGATGAAACAGTTAAAATCTATTTTTAAAAATCAATTGGATATTATTGTATGATATTTGAAGAATATTCTGTTGAATAATTAATAAATATGACAATGAGAGCAAATACTCTTCAGCGTCTCGGAAAAAGTATGTTTGCAGTGCCCCTGATAACGTGATGCTGGATCATACGAAATCAAAAAAGCAAAGTTCATTTGTTATATAATAGTTTTGCCCAGATAACGCTGAGAGTATTTTTTGAAATAACCTTTTTTTTTTGTTATTACTCTTTGCAGAAAAAACACGATTTTGTGCAAAAAAATTGGTTAGTTTTTTATTTTAAAATGAAAAATATTAACAAATTTGAGAAACTCTCCAGCGTTACCTCGTAAATTTTGTATGTAGCGCTTTAAAGTCTTAAAATCTAATGTAAAACGTTCATAGAGCAAGTATAAAAATACTTATAGCTTCGTTAATTTTGCTCCAATCGACTTGAACTTTGGACAAAATATGTTTGATATATTATGCATTATTTTTTAATGAAACAATTTAAAAAAATTAAAAACCCTATTCTCCCTAAAACTACATAAACATTGTATCATCAGTAACGTTGAAGTGAAGAGTATCAGCTGATATTCATAAAGACTTCTGATAAAATTCAATGAAAGTCATGAATTCATCGAAAACTTACCCCATGTGAGAGCACCAAGCTGTTAATCGATAATATCGAATAAGAGTTGATGAAACAATGCATGGCAATCACCGTGTTGGCATCAGGGAGATTGAAAGGACCTTAAAATCTCTTGTGGATCGACTCAACACATTTTGGTTATTGTTTTGGGTAAAAAGGGTCTCAATGCAAGGTTTACATCAAAAAGAAATTAAACTTTGGCTTGACAACGTAGCTGAGAACCCTACATTCATCGCACGCATAATTACTGGTAACTAAACATGAATAAATTTGCGCTTGATACTTACTGGACCTTTAATGGTGAATACTTACTTTAAACCACTCCTTATAGATAAATTAAAATGCTGTCTTTTATAAGTACATTAATCGATTTTTATTTATCGAATTCATTTACAGTTTTCACTTAATCGACTAAATTAAAATGTAGTATATATTTAGGCTTAATATATGTTTCACTTTATGTAAATTTCAGTAAGTTCAAGTTTTCTACTAAACGGACATAAATTATTTCAATAAAAATAAATGCAATAAAATATTTCTTAATTGTCTGTATTTAGGACAATCATACTTATAGGCAATTCAGACAAGCCACTAATTTAATCAATTAACGTCTCATTTATACTAACAATATTTTGTGAAAATTGCTGACTGACTGATTTAAGTGGCTGTCCGAAACGCCTATTAATATGACTAACACACGGTCAATAATCAAATCAATTAAGAATTCATGGCATTTATAATAAAAAGTAAAATTAAAATGCATGTGAGTGTATTCGTTATATTTCAAACGATTCGATTAAATATTAAATAAAATGTTAAACCTTTTTAGCTATTGCTGCCTATCTCTCTTTTAATTCGCTTATGTGATTTTTCGTCTTTAAATCATAACATTACTCAAAAGTTATTATTCAACATTTAATCCATTATACCGAGTTTTTTGAAGAAATAACGTATATCAAATTAAAATTGCCGTCCATGTCGTCCGTCGAAAGCTCGATCGTAAACTTTGCACAGCGACTCTGTTCGCGTGCTTGAAGAACTTTTGCGTATTGCTGTTGAGCTTTTTGTAGAGTTGCCACCACGAGTGGCATAAACTTTCGAACTGCTGGGTTTTTCTCTAATAGCGGGCTTTCGTCGTCGCTGACGCAAGTGGCTCCAAACAGCGATTATAGCCAATTGTGTCAGCAGAAAAACAGTGAGAGCTAATATGAGACCTAAGGAAGAAAGTTAGTGAATTTGAAGAAATATTATTAGAACGCCGTAAGATTATAACAATTAAAAAAATGTAAGATTATAACAATTTCTGGCAAAAATCAAATTAATTTTATTTCTGGTTAGAGGCATCCAAAACGTGAAATACTAATTTATTAAAAATAAACGAACAACACATAGCATATGAACGATAACTTATGAGCTTTTGTTGATTTATAAATGTGTTTCTAGTTTTAAACTTAGTAGAAGCTCTTCAAATACTACCACAGCTTAAAGCTCAGTAAGTTACGCTAAGCCTCATGATGGTTTCCTCGTAATCGCCTCTATTACCATATATACATTACAGAAAATTGAGCTGATTTTCACACTCGTAAAATATATTTCACTTACCGATCGCATTAACACAATATCCTAATTCAGCATTGCCGCCGATGAGCGTCTTCTCGTTGTCATCATTCGTGGAGGTTTTGGTGTGCTTCTGTTGGCGCTGCTTATCGAAGCCGAATTTGTCGGTAATCTGTATTGATTGCACCAACAACATGTCCTCTTGACTAGGTTGGCTGGTCGAGGTGGAGGCAACTGCGGCACGTTTACTGCGCAGGCGTAAAAGTCGTTGTCGGCTTATGAGTTGTTGATGTTGTTCTTCTTGTAGTTGTTGTTGCAGCTCGTGGCTGGTGTACACAGAACCCTCAAATGCTGTTTCAATGAATAGAAAGGGCAAAATAAAACGAAAAATAAGTCATCAATGAGTAGAAAGAAATTTAAGTAGCTCTCTTAATCTTTTAATTAGGGAATGCGAGCTCGTTTTTTCAACCCATATGCAACACTTAACTCTCTGACCCTCACCTGTTACATTTAAGGCACGTCGTCTGCGCCCATACGAACTCATTGACTTCAATTCACCGCCGATATCCTCTTGGTTGCATTGCACAGGTTCGCAAGTTGGCATACAGGGTGTGACCAAGGCGCGAAATTGTACCAACTCGGACGTTGGGAACTTGAAGGCATCAAATTGTGCGAGTAAAACTTTACCCGAAGTCGAACTCTTGTAAATCGGACCCATTATAAATTGATCGGTGGGACAACCATTCGAATCGATCAGCGTAATCTCGGCATTATCACTACCATCCATGGCCACGAGCTCACGCACAAATATTTCGTAAGGACTTTGCGCATCCAGTATCTCGAATTTCAGTGCTAACGGATCACCAACTTCTGCTGTGCGCAGCACATCACTACCATCACGTGACGTGATCTTCATTAACACATTTGGCGAATCGACGATCACCTCTTCGCTCAAAGCAGGCTCGAAGTCGTCCTTAATATCTAGCAGCACATTGTTCGACACCGATTTGTTCGTCAAATCATAGTGACACGTCACAGCTAAACCTAAATCGGAGGAGGTCACAATGGTGTCGTGATGTTGTATCACCACATCATTCATATAGCGACCGGTGTTGCTTTGACGCACGTTGCATTCGAGATTTTGATAGCCCATGCGCAGCTCAAATTCTAATGAGTTCTTCACATCCATAGCACAAGATTTAGGCGAGCCCTTTGCGTATACTTTACCATCGAAGAGTTTGGAAGTGCGTATGCGCGCAATCATGTCCATCGCACCGCATTCGATGGTCACATTGTAGCAAGATGAAAGTTCGTAGGTCGTCGCTTCAGGTACAGCCAGATAAGGATCTTGCACGTCGTTAAGTGTGATGCGACTGTGATGTGAGAGACGACAAACCATATCACCAGTGTCACCATAGTCGTACGAGTGGCATCTGCGGGAAAAATACCGTGGTTAACAGATGTAAGGAAGAGCTACTGTGGAGCTCGCAGGGATCGGCATATTCCACTCTTTTCGTGGGTCGAGATTTTGCCGTTTTCATCTATTCTTTCATATAATTTTATAATAGAATTACCAAAATGTCCATTTGGAGCTATTTAATCAGGTTTTAAAATAAATAGTAATAGTTTCAGTATAACTATAGCCAGCGCCCTGTTCACGGGGATGACTGAAAGGATGAGCTTCCAGGTTTTTAAATCTTAATATCGCAAAGGTGGGAAAGCGAAGAACTAAGTGATGAATAGCTTACTAGACCTTTTGCGATCCATTTTGAAGCCATAGTAATCTTGCGACAGCGCAAGAATTAATGGTAACTCAGTGCTGAGCAAGCTCCCTTGAAATCCAGCTATCCAGTAGGTGGATGCACAAAGCGAGCGGAGCTGCGAGCAACTGTCATTCTATTGATAGTATGGCTAAGATGCCTTTGCTTCTCAGCTCGTCAGCTTTGCAGTTACCTGCGATTCGACTTGGTCTGGCACTCATACTAGTCTTATCACGAAGTGCCCTTGAAATCGATGTTATGCATTCCTTAAGTGACCTTATATGCACAGTTAGTAAGCTCAAGGCTAGTATTGCCGGACTGCTATCAGAGTGGATAGTCAATCCGAAAAGGGCTACACTCCGGAGTATAAGATCTGCTGTTACCTTATTGGCAACAACTTTGGCTTGAAAACTCTGTTTCAATTCCACTAAGCTGATAAGCTGTTATGTTTTGTCGTTATTTTATCGTTGGATGAATGCAGCAGACTGGAAGAGCTAATTCGAAAAGGAATTGGCTGGCCTTCGAACGTATCTACTTTTTAGTTTACAATAAGTTTACGAGAGCATTGTATCTGTACATGTCTGTTTTATTTGTTTTTTTTTGAGAATTGTAGAAAATATTCAAGAAATGGTTTGGGTAGTGTACTTTATAACGAGCACAAAGTATTCAGTGAAGATCATGAAATCATCGAAAACTTGCCCATGTGCGTCGTTTATTCATCTTTGTTAATGACAATACTTCGAATGAGTTAAAAAAATACTTAAAAATTGTCGCGTGGGAATCAATGAGACAGAAGAAGATCTCAATGCGGTTAATCTTTTGTTTATGAAACGGATCAAATGCAACATTACTGTTGACGAGACGTGGGTTTATGAAAATGACGTCAAAACTGCCCAACAGTCGTGCGAATGGCGCTACAAAACTAAATCAAAACGAAACAAACAAAAATTCTTGGATGGCACTGAAGGCCATCCCAGTCCATGCCTATAATAAGTGTTTAAAGAATCGGTTTAATAATTGGATGAGGCATGCTTGTACTGGCTCGGAAGCCTATTTTAAAGGCGATAATAAAGATTTGTACTGAAATGCGTGAAAATTTATTATTTTGTGTCAAACTTGATCAGATGGTAATACCAGTTGAGAGTGTTTCTGGCATCTGGTAGTCACAAAATCAAGCCACTCAACTTGGGTGGTGACCCTCATAAACTACTCGTTCTAAAAACTGCTGAGAAAATTAACAAAACATTACTTTAACTGGCATTACTTGCACAAACCCACAACGCTATAGCTATTATATAAGTTGAAAGGAAATAAGCAACTTTATAGAAGTACTACAAAATGCTATAAATAATAACAAGCGTTGGCGGCATCCCGAATGTCATGTTGCATGCCACCACACATGATATATTGACATGTTAATATATGAGTATTGGCTATTATCGAACGTTATTGCAACCTACAATTATGGTGCGAGTACTTATAAGTGCAACTTCATCTGCCTAAGTGTGCCGAGCAGCTAAGGCTAAGTCCACAGAGAGTAGACAGTTAAGGCAACAACATGCAGAGGAGTGCTCGGACATCAGCTATGCACTCGACGGGTTTATTTTTTTTTTTTTCACCATTTTATTATGCCGTTTACTGGTTTATGTATGTAGTCATATTTTTGCAATTTTGTTGTTGCCAGTGGCACCTGCTGCACTTACCTGTATGGCGCATTCAAACATAAATCACGACACTCATCAAAACTGCCAATATCCTGATATACCGAATCCACCGTTTTCAATATGCGTCCGGGTAAGCGCTTGAATTCACACAATTTATTTGGCTCATCGGCGCAGTTATTCTCCAGATAATCGACAGTATCTTGCTGCTGGAATGCGCTCGAGCCGCTCAGCGTCATGCGATCCATTTCGGAGAGTTCACAACTTTTTGTAATGCGATCGAAATTGGCCGATCTACAGCGAAAGAAGAAAGGCGGCAAACAAAGTAGGGGATTAGTGGAGAGTAAAAAAGATAGAAACTTGTGTTGTTGTTATTCTTATATGCTTATTTGCTACCAAATGCTAAGCTATAAAAAGCGCTATGAAATGTTGTTAACTAAAGCGTTCTGACTAAGTTTAAGTTTAGCGTCGCGCATTCACCGCTTACTCTGTGCTTGATTTTCAGCAGAATTGATCACACATAAATCTGCTGTCCCGCTTGTTTGGCCGACCGCTCACTATTGAGCGCGTCAGCCATTATTCGCAACTGATTAAGCTATTAAAGGCATCAACACGATCATTCGGTGAATGGTGCAGAGTTATGAATGACGGCGACTGAATGAACGCTGTGTGAGGAGCGATGAGTGATAAGTGATGAGCTTTTGTGCGCATTACTAAGCACCCATTATGGTGAAGATTGCGCATTAAAAGCAAATTTATTCGCTATTTGACTGGGACGTGTGCTTGTCAGTTGCAAAAAAAAAAATATAATTACGCCCCAATAAATCCAATTTATTGAATAAATAATTATGGCTAATGAGCGGCGATTACTAAGTAGAGGAGTGGTGATGATTAATTCATTTTATGTTTTATTAGTAAGATGCTACAAGTCTATATGAAGTCTAGTTAATATTCTTGTGTTTCAATTTATGACTATTTTATATAAAGACAAAAAATTAGAATACTTTTATCGTTACCATCTATGACTATTTGTTTGCTTGAAGTTTGTGGATATGTAAGTTGGCGATATCGACCCACACTGGTGGTCAAAAAAAAAAAACTGCTGCATGGAAAATATACCTAAATAATTACATTTTGTTAGTTATGCTTAATTCTGATCTCATGTTTATAAATGGGTATAATGTATGTACTAGCATATTCGATATTTTAATATTGTGAAACAGGTGGTCTTTAAAGGTCAGTCTAGGGACTTCAATCGGTCGTAAGTAGCTCACACAGTTTTCCGAGTTAACGCCAATAGAGTTACGAGAAAAATTCCTTGCTGGGTGAAAAATGCTTGAGTTTTATTAACAAGAAATTTGTTAAACAAATTGATAAGTGCTGTTGAAGTGAACATGTGATATCAGCTGTAATGGAGACTCGAGCATGGTATTGCAAAAATGGAGGAAATCGGAAGTAAAAATGTTATACACATGGAGTTACGGCACCCTTGCGGATAACTCGCATTTATGTGAATTTTGCGAGTCTGTGCCACAATCAGTTGGACTATAAATTATCGATTAGTTACATAACTAGGTATAATTTTAAAATGAACTAGGTAATGCTTAAAAAGTGTCATTTTGTACAAGAGCCCGTTGTGCCAAACAAAGTCGAATGTAACTATGGTATCTAATGAAATCATATCCGTGGACTTGGAGTTTGGAAAACTTGTTTTGACGTTTATTTTTAGTCTAAGCAACGGTTGCATGGTGTTATGCTCATGTCGGAATCCAAGTTGTATTGGTGGGAGTACTACATAATCTTCTAAGAAAGTTGACAATCCTTCTTTTGCAATTTTACGTACTGACAACGAAAAACTTATTGAATACGTTGGGAATTATGATGGTTTTTTACACTTTAATATCAATATAACCTTTGAAGTCTTTCATCGGATCGGTTAGTAGTATAGACGAAGACATTCGTTTATAATTCTCGTGATATACTTCAATCCACTCAGAGGCAGGGCGTTAAAATCTCAGAGAGAATGCTTGTGAATGCCTCTTTAGAAATTGTTGTTTAAGAGTCTAAATCGCAAACAAAGTTGGCGACTCCTGATATAGTTGCCTAATTACTAAGATTGTTAGAGTAACAAGAATTCATTTCAAATATAGCTGCTAAAATGTGCGCTTTCTATACCGGAGTGGAAAAAGAGCTAAAATTTTGTCTTAATATTGGTATTCTAGAGTTACTCATCTTATTAGATAATATTCAAAATGGATAAGAGTTGCCTTCTAACACCACTAAATGAGTGGTAATGATACAGTTTTAATTGCTGAAAATAAGCGCCTTACTCACATTAATATTATTGCCTTATATCAGTGGTGCTGTACAAGTAAGAGCTAAATTCTATTTCGATAACTTTGTTTATGCTTGAGTCATAGAAAATCATACAAGCTGGATAGCTTCAATAGTTTATAAGGTATGGACATTAAGCTTAATAGAACTCAGGTTCACTCTTAAATTTACTTACTCCTTTAAATATGTAACTATACTTGTATAAGTGATAATATTCACATATTTAGCTTGATAAGTAACTGAATTATAGTTTGTATTTCCGAAACCCAATTTTTTCTTTTTTTTGATTTGACAAAATTCACGCTTATTAGTAAAGTTAATTCGCTTATAAGGCTTGGGAAAAGTTGGAAATTTGTTTTAATATTTTAATATATATTATCTTATATCTTTATATATATTATTTTAAGACACTGAGTCTGAGCAACATTAAAGTATATATTTTTGTGTTTGTTTTCCGTTCGTTTACATATTGTACAAGAACAAAAAGTGAAATTGTCATATTTTATCGTTTTCAGCTCTCTTTCTTTATTTATCTATATGTTATATAATCACTCTGTTATTTGACTCACCTGCATGTGAACTCCGCTTGACTCAAACATAACTGTATGCAATCATGACGAGTTTCTGCTGGGAACTTGCGCTTCGTATAGCCAATTAATTTGTTGCCCTGAACGCGATCGATATACCAGGCGCGAGAGCAAGGGCGTTGGTTGAGGCAGGATTTTTGGGCATAAAGAGTAAAAACGGGGAATTGCGACTTGGCAAGAGCTCCTGTTTGGTAATTGCATAAAAAAAATATATATACATATATATTTATATTGAAGTTATTAATTTTATCAAATTTTAAAATAATTTTTTAAAGTCAAATGCAAAAGCAATAAAAAAACTTAAAAGTATATATGACTTTCTTTATATAAAATAGGACCCGACAAATAGCTAATTGCACCTACTTTACATGTGTGGGTTTATTATTGTTCTTTTACTTCAACAACATGTCGCTTTGTTTATAAAAAATTGTCTAGCTTTTGTTTTTGAGCTTTGATTTGTTTATTATGGTACAAACATTTTGATGTTAATTTGATAATCTTATATTATTATTAAATTAGAATATATTAATATTTGTTCAGTGAAAAATATTTTCGGTAGAGATTATTAATATACCTATGTCCTTCAAAACTCACCTGGCAACTTATCCGCATTCGCCGAGAAGAGTACACATAAGCCAGTCTCATAATTTGCCGCATGACAAGCTGTATCCTTGCGACAGGCGTCCAAGCAGTCCGTCAACATCAGTGTACCTGGCATAGACGTTAACAACTTTCCGGGAGCCGAGAAGACATAACTGTATCGTTAGGGATAATGAAAGTATACAAATATGTTTAGTAGGAGCGAAAAAATTTTTTTTGTTGTTGTTTAGCCTGAGGATTCTCTATGTGTAGATTATAAAAAAAGAAAACTTTTGGAAAAAATGTTTTTTTTAACATCTCACTTTTAAAGTAAGTTTCTAGTTAAATTTTTTTTTGGTTTAAACTTTTTACATTTATATAAAAATTACCGAATTTGACGGTTTTTGAACCAAACTTTATTTTAACGCTTAAGGAAAGCATGTTGTCGTCTAAGACTTTTTTTTAAAACTCCAATAATGACCACAAACAATTTTTTTAAGTTAATAACTTGTAATTGACCAGAAAGAAGACTCTACACAGCTTCTAGAACACTTATACAAAAAAATTTTACGATATAAAAATCGAAGCTTTTAGATAATTGAGATCTGCCTACGGGTGACTTTTTCTTTTGGATAATATTTGTTTATCTCTTTCTAATCTTTAAAGTTGTATCATAAATTATTGAAAATTTTCTGTCGACAATGTTGCCTACATTTAGGAGCATACTTCGAATTTCTGCACTGTTTTCATAGGCAACTCCGAAAAGAAAATAAACTTAAAATTTCTATTCCTTTTTTCACTTACCCGGTAATAATCTCGAAACCAATTAGCTCTTTGTCACATTCTCGAAAATTGCTGTCTTGATCGTTGGCAATATCATTGTCTTCGCCGCCTTTGTCGGCGAATTCTATATCTTCATCACCAATATCTAATTGTAATTCCTTGTTTTCTTGCTGCAACTGCTCAATCGCTTTTGAATTGTCTTCACTTTGTGCAGAACTGGCTTCTTTATTATTTTCCAACGCCACCAATGAGTCTGCTTTTGTAGTTTTATTGGCTATACTTGTGACAATCGCTACTGGGTTGCCAACGTCTTGCTTTTCTTCGCTGCTAAGCGCTTGGTAGCTGGCAGCTTTGGCTGTTGCTCCTGTAGCTTTGCCACCTGATTTTTCATTGCCAACTAAGTCCGACCGCGAGTGTCTGGCGGCGCTTGAAGTTATGGGCGCAGCTATTAGCAGCGATAGCAGAAGAAGGCAAGTTGTGACATTGTATGTGTGTAATGAGCATTGTCGGTGTCGCATTGTTGATGATTGCGTTGCGATTACTTTTAAGGGGGCTGAAAATAAATAAAAAATTTAAATGCTTTATTAAATATTTATATTATATTATATATTTATAAATATTATATAATATTTTATATAGTTATGGTAATATAATCTCTCCAACTTCCATAAGAGTTCCAATCGCTTGTGAGATAAAAGTCAACAGATTTAAATTGTGGCGTTTGTTTGATAATCATACCGAATAGCTGCAAGTTAAGAGTTTAACGTCCGAAAGAAGACTTAAGCGAAAAACTTGATATTTATTTTTAGATTTTTCATATTTTAGAATCGCCTCGGTGAGTTTTCTTCAATTTTAACTTTCTCAAATATGTGGCTTAGTGTTAAAATAATCAATTAAAAACCGTTTTCTAAAAGCTTTTAAATTATTATACCAAGTTTTTCTTAATATGTAATGTATATTATGCTCGTATGTTCGAGCGTTTCTGGCAGGTTTGTTGCTTAAGTCTTTTGCTTCCAAATAAGGCAGAATTATCTAATATTTAGCTTCCATTTCGTTAGAGTGCATTCCACTTCTTTGATTCACAAAAAAGCTTACAGTTATTAGTCTAGACTTCCCAAATGAAGCACACAACAATAGTGAACATTATCCACAAAGCATAATACCAACAAAACCCGAAAATATGAATGACAACTAAAGAAACTCCAATAATGCGTTGAAGGTGTTTTAGAAATTCTGCGAATTCAGTTTTTGTTGTTGTTGTTTTTGGTATATTTTAGTACGCTTGTAGTTTACTGGATGCTGCCTTGAACAAATATACAGACTAACCTTAAATGTGTTACTTCGTTAACCGCTATAATTTTATTGATGCGGCCTCCCCAGATGCACTTTAAACTACAGTTTATGCTCAGTAGCAAGATTTTGTTGTTGTTGTTTGTCAGACTTTGTGTGTTCAAATAACAGTTCTTATAGCTTTGTTCCGTTGGTGAGCAATAAAAAGATTTTCTAACAAATATTTTTCTGACCATTTCGTACACTTTTCCACATGTGTTTATATATATTTGGGTATTTATGTATTTAATTTGAAAAAAAAAAATTTCGCAGACACAAATGAACTCACTTTTTGCTGCCATACAAACGGCAGCATATAACCAGCGGTTAAACCGTTTTTGTGTTCAAACACTTGGTAGTCATCAATTTTGTAACAAACGTATAAGTATGTGTGCAAGTAACAACAAGTGTAGATACCAAAGAGATATATTTCTGTATTTTTGTGTCAAAAGATATAAAAAACTTCTTTATTTCTTTCAAAATGAAAAAGTTTTAAACATATGGTGAAAACTACCTCTCAAAATTTCGTGAAATTATTTATTTTAAAGTGTTGCGACGATATTTTTCCCTTCAAAATTGCTTTTTATTGCATACTGGTAGATTCAAGTTTATTATAGATATACATTCTATATCAAAGTCTACTGACTACTTGGTGAACCACTTGTAGACTGATGTAGAAACATTTCGGCGAACCTGTTGAGATTGTCGAAATTGATATTAGCTACCACAACAAATTTGTGACAAGCGCTTTGTCGATTTATAATGGTCTTTTCGATTAATATTTCGAAGCTTAGGCATCATAACGGACCGCCGTTTACAGCTGTTCAAGTGAGATACTTTTTGGCTTTTGTTACGGGGTCGACTTTTTAACCTGACCTATACTTAGGAATTTTACTTGTTGTAGCCGTAAAAAGTTCCTACTACTCTGTGATCACCCTATAGATCAAATAATATCAAAAATAGTGAATGATTCGAACTATATTATAAACTCTTATACGTATAAATAGTGTGAGCGAGTAAAGTTTATCTGACCTACTAATGTATCAGGCAGATTTTCTTACAAGTCAAAGTTCATTACTTTCAAATATAGTATTGCAAACGACTGAAGACAAAGTAAAACAAACTCGTGCGTGCAAATAATTATGGTGGTTTACTTTAAAATTTGAAAATTTGCTTGTCTGAAACTACTACGGCAGTAAGCCTAAGCTTTGGTGATGCTGTTAAATTGTGAAGCTTCTATAAGTATGACAATATAGTTGTTCTAGTTTTTTTTTCTCCAAAGTACACATATTTTTTGTCTTAGTGCTAAAAACATTTAGTACCAAAAATATTAATTATTTTTTTTTAAAAACGATTTTTATTTTGCTCCAAAGCATGTATATTTTTTATACCCTGAATAGGGTATATTATTCTTGCCAAATTGTTTGTAATACATATCTAAACATATATACATAAATGATTAGCATGACGAGCTCAGTCAATGTTTTTATTTACCCAGACGGACTCTCCGTCAGACCATCCGCCTGCATATATACGAAGCAGTCGCTCAGTTTTTGAGATATCGATCTAAAGTTTTGTCACCGTCCTTTTCTCACCAAGAAGCTGGTGATTTGTCGGGACGGTCGACGACTATAGTATATTGCTACCATATAAACAGAACGATGGGAATAAAGTTATTGTTTGGAAAAAAATTTCATTTGAGGGGATATTTTTATGAAATTTTGCATAAGTTATTGCTTAAGACAATGACAATTGTTCAGTTCGAGCCAATATAGCATATATCTGTCATACAAACTGATCAATGCAAGTTCTTGTAGGGATTTTTTGGTATCTGGGAAGAGTTTTGTTCGATTGCACCAAAGCTAACATTTTGCTTTTTTTTTTTTTAAATATTATATAAGTATTGTTAGTTTGTTTTACTTCTTTTAGAAACTATACACACACCTACATACCAGTTTAGTTGTAGTTTTATGCTTTATAGAGACTTCAAAAGTTTAACACTAACAGTTTTACCACCTTATGCACATTTAGACATAATTTCTAGCAAACAACAGATTTTCACTTTTTTTTCGAAAGTGGAAGTAAAAAATTTACAGTTCGTTGCGTGCCACTGTGCATTTTGGCGGCAGTACATCTTTTATTTCTTTATTTTTGCCTTAGGTGCCTTAGAATTTCTAAGTTGCCGCATTGTTGTGTCACTTTACATGTGTAGTCTCCATTATAAAAGCTTTTTTTTAACTTATTTTCTTTTACATTTCCCCTTACTTGACTGCGCTCGAGGTGTGAGTGTCAGCTCTTTCACTTTTTGATTTACGCAGGTGTCTGACATGATCGTTTCGCCGTTGATATACAAACTAAATGAAAATATGAGTTTTTAACGAAGTGTATGTATGAAAGCACCCTGTGGAAATTTTTTTTTTTTTTGGTTTGACATAAATTTGATGAACGTTGCTTCCGTAGCAAGTTTAGAGATCATAGGAACGGGTGCGTCGTTGATTATAGTATGAAGAGATATTTGTTGTTCGTGCTATTGAAATTGATTTTAAAAAGCCAAAAATACATTTTATATATTCAACATTGATTCTTAAGGCAGCATTGAGCCACGTTTCTCATTTATTTGTGTTTATCACTATTTTCGTAGATCACTTTGTCTCACATCTTGCATCGATAACAAAAATAGCATCTTGAAAGCCCATTTCAGCTGATTGCTACCATATTTTGTTGCGACGATTGCACTAACATGTTTAAATAAAAAAATTTCTTTGCTGTAATTTATTTCTTATCAGCTTATGTTTTTGCTATCTACAAATTATGGCTGCTTAATTTCAATAACTTTTACTGTCTCTGGTCGCATTATAATCTCTATTGAATGAAACGCGATTAATAGCTAACTGTGCTAATGCGTTTACCGGTGGATTTTAAAGCTTTTTACTATTATGTTAATGTTATTATAAATTATTTATTACTAATACTAGTTTCTCAATGAATTTATGCTCTTGTCTATTTGATTTGATTTTNTAACAAGTGTAAACATTTAATAATGATGTGACCAATAAGCTTACCTAAATTTATTTATTGCCAATTCGCCGCACTTGATTATTATTAATTCGATTTCGCTTTTTTGCTTTCACAAATTGAAAATAAGAAGAAAAGGGCGAAAAGTAAAGCAAAAATATAGCAAAAGCATGACAAATTGCAATGGCAAACTGATGGAAGAAAAGCACAACAAAAATATTCTTCGAGTGAAAACAAGCAACAAGTGCACATTCTTTTTGTAATTTCAATTTATAGATATATATCACTTATTCTTTTGAAAACGTATTTAGGCGAGTTATTTGTTGTTTGCTTTTTGCTTTTTTTGTAATGCCAAAATTATTATTCAAGTTCAAATTCAAAAGACTGTCAAATATTTTGGAGCACAAAAATTGTCAACTATACTACAATAAAGTCTTCTTTCATTTATTTACTTTGTCGCGCAGAGTTCAAATACCTTTGTATGCTTCTAAGTAAATTGTTTGCCTGCTGAAAGCTCACTTGGCTCATAAATAATTGCAAAAAAATTATTTCATGCTCATTGAACATAAATTTTTGTCATTTTAATTTACCGTTTCTTAAAATAAGTAGTAAAATAATAGTAAATTGAGATTTTAGAAATTTTTAATTTAAGCAGTTGCCGCATATAGTTGCCATACAAACTGAACTATCAAAATCAAGTTAAAGATTTATTTTACCATTTAAAACTAAGCTATAAGAAATGCATGAGTACCCTTTTGTAATTAGATGCAGCCGAAGTTAACACCTTTTTTTTTTGTTTTTTATATCCGAGACTTTGTATAAATATTTTTAAAGTAACTGGTGTTTTATGGTATCACTTGTGGACAAAATTATGCTAGTGTAATCCGTAATATTTTGCATGAAATATTAAAATAGTAGTTATTATAAAATTAGCTAAAGACCTACCTTGTATATACCAGTAATAAATTAATCCTTTATAATCTTATAGCCGATGACAGCTGATCGTATTTATGTTGTAATTGTTGTATTAAATATTTTTCTTCAACATTTTCAAAAATGTCTACCTACTACATATACGCTATATGAAATAGACATGTACATAATTCTTATGACTGAAGAAAAGCGAGGAACGTGCTTGACACAAAAGACTTAGGCAACAAACTTTTTCCTTTCTTTTTCAGTTTTTGCTTTTTTCGATCGTTTTTTCGCTTTCATTATGTTAGAAAAATCTGACAATTTATGTCAATAATAAGCCGCACTACTTTTGACGTCATTATTGCCTTTGAAGTGTTGACTTTTATTGTTCCGCAGCGAACGCACGCGTAGTAAAAGACGGTTTTCCAATTAAAATATCGTTCAATTCGTGATTAATTGTTGTGCTGTAAATTGGATTGAGCAGTGAAAAGAGACGAATATTTGGGAAAAATCAAAGCTACGCGTGGGCATTTAGTAATTTAAGTATTTTTGAGTCATTTGTCATAATAAGTAGCTTTTATGATCTATAAGCACCGCTTGGTAATTTATTTCTGGCTACTATTTTTCGAAAATCGCCATTAGTAAATAGTGTGCCTTACAAGTGGACTATCAATAATATAAAGAAATATTTTAGGGCTTAGAAATTTGAATTTATTTGTTGTAAAGATATATATACGTATGTACATTTATTTATATATATTATATCATAATTAACTTTTTTTTCATTATACTTTTTATAAGCGTTACAGAAAGTTCAGTTTAAAATAAAAATAATTAATATTAAATATAAGGCACACTATTTACAAAAATTTCATACAAGTATATTAAAAATTTAAATAAAATTTTTTTTTTTTTGTTTGGTATTTGGTATATTTATCAAATCTTGCTTAAAATTAAACTTCTCACAATTTTGTCTTAACATCCTATTACATTTTTTCCAGCAACAACAACAACATTTACCACCTCTCAGTCGCTGCGGCAACATCAATGCTGCATTCATACTGTCTGTCTGTTTATGCAACAGCTCGCGCTGCAACACAAAGGCGCTATTTAGCTGGCATGAGTTTGCATTATGTTAACAGCAGGCTCAACAAAAAGTGATTAGCGCTTGGCTAAGCACACACTACAAGACAGCAAGCAAGCGCAGAAGCTACAGAATTTATGTTCTATAAATTTTTTATTTTTCATTTAATATTTTTTCTTTCAATATGCAGCTTTGTGCCGCGAAAGCCATACTTCCTTTGTACATATTTTTATTACATACATATTTGCACGTTTTTTTACATATATTTATTTTTTACTTTAACTGCTCCGCTCCTGTGGTTAGTTAGTTAGTTAGCTCTAATGCCCTGAAACAAATTACGTTAATTTAATTCCCTTCGAGCTACCACTACACACCACAGCTAAGTTGCCGCTCGTATATGTCGAGCGCAAAATGGTGCAGCAGTTGAGCAGGCGCAGCAGCTTTTATCAGCTCACTACTGGCGTTGCTGTTGCATCTGCCGCTGAGCGTTTCCTGCCTCTATCCTGCCCCCATATGAATTTATTGTTTTGTTGCCTTCTCACTGTTAATTGAAACCTGCTGCGCCATCAGTGTCAGCCCGCTTCAAGCCTCATAAAGATTCAACCAGCTCTGCGATGCGAAATCATTTGAATTGCTGCCGTTTGTGGCATAAGTTAGTTGTGCTAGTGCAGTGTAAGGGGCAGCAGAAGCAAAACAGAAATATTTAGCTAAGCTTTAATGCCAGCCCAGCACTTCATTTCAAATGAAACTAGAAAACAAAATGAGTGAGCCGCTGACGGCTGGTGTTTTGCTGTGCAGCTCAGCCCCTGTTTGCTTCCTCAGACTGACTGCAGTTTTTTTCCAACAACAATGCATATTTAGCGCTTTGTTTGTAGGGTGTTTGAGTTAGTCTGTGTTGTTTGTGGTATGTGTGGTAAGTATATTACAAATTCCTGCAGCAGTCCTTGACTTTTATTGCTTTACCTTTTGGTCGTGTCTTAAATGTTTTACAATCGCCCGTGTTGCTTACTTTGCCCTTAATTCGTTGCAGTTAAAGTTAACACGACATAAAGAACTGACAGTTGTGAAAACTGCAAATAGTTCAGCTGTGAAAATCAGAGAAAAAACTTCACAAAACTGGGCGTTCTCAATGGCAATGAGGCTCTTCGAGTCAGATTTCAGTCATTTAGACAACGTTCTTAGTATTTACCTATATAATTTTCAATGGTCCTATATTTCTGTTAATACTCTTTAACTATACAAAGCTCTTGAAATAAGCTGTATTTAAGATGATTACTTGAAATATACAATTTTGTTATATAATTCATATGTAAGATTGACTTCAATTAAGCTCTGTGCTATATAAAAATATTATTTAGATAATTTCTTTAAAAATATTAGTATTTAAAATAAATCAAAACAAAATTTTCAAAACATACCAAGAAAAGAATGTTACAACAATGAAAATATTGTGTAAACAGGGTATGTGTCCATGCTAACTTTGGCTACCATAGTTTCAATCCAATTTTTAATCGTGCATTAGTATCCATTGAGTCTTTTTGAGCACTTGATTACCAATTAGTAAAAGAAAAATTAATAAAGGTCGACTAAACTGAAGAAAAATGTATAATGATCTACATATTTTAAATAGCTTTTGGTTTCGTCTGGTATAAGAAAGCGAGTATTTAAACAATGAATGAATGGACATATGCAACGAAGATATTAAGTTTGTAAAACGATTTATAGAACCTGAAGAACTACCTCATAGTCGTTTTATGTTTCTACATTTTGAAGATTCTCAAGGACACTCATCAGTGAACTCTCTCCGATATTGGTTAGTAGATTACGTATCTGTTTCGGAGAAGAAACAACGAAATGCCTGATTCTTCGAAACATTTTAGTTGATATATTTGACAAAAAGCCTCAAAAGTCATTACAAAAATAAATTGTTTTCTCAAAGAGAAAGTAGATAAGTAACATTACCAAAGGTTCTCTGCGTAGCCTTTAACCCTGAATTGATCCATCACATCATTACTAGCGTTGTTGTTGAAGGTTTACGGATTTTGAGCCCTTTTCATCACTTGAAGATATATTCAAATCGAAAGAATACGCTGAAGTCGGTAGAAATTTTAAATAGTACTAATATTTTCTAAGATTCCTGTTGCATATATCTTTATGAACTCATTCAGGAAGTCCTAAAAGTCTATATGGAATACTATTTGCTCCATTTTCAGGTATCTACATACTAAAACTCCTCATAAAAGGCAGACAAGTCATGTATTTTTTGCCTTGAAAAGCCAACATCACACTCTAGCTTGATTGTGACGCCACTATGATCAAACGCGATACAAACATTAGAGCTCAGCCATCACATTCAACAAATTTGAATTCTTTTCATATTTTCTGAACTGCTGAGCTCCTGAAAGAGAGGGTGTTTGAAATATTTATGAAAAGGTTTGAACGACGAGCTTGAAACAACGCATATTTTCAGAGAAGTATGCCTAAAATGAGAACTCAGGAGCAAACTTGCTGAAATAAGCATAACCAAAGAAAGTTTTTGAGACTACAAATATTAAAATCATATTTGTAATCTCAAAGAGAGAGTAATATAACACCATAAAATGTCAATATCCAATACTCCATTACATGCAATTTTAAGGTTATGGTGAAAGCAAGGTACTCAACTGTTAAGAAAACTGATTAATTTTAAAGCAGGTTTTTTTCAGTGTAGCCCTATTCTAGGCGAATTTGACTTCATCCACAGATTTTCGAATATATTTAGATAGTCGATACTTATATATAGAATACAGATAAATTAAAAAGAACATATAATAATTAAAATTTACGTCACAAATTTTGAAGATTATTTCTAATAGATGTATGTACATACTTTCAAAATATTAAATATCAGCATATATTATGTTAAGTAATAAAAAAGTTATTAGAAGAGCAAAAGAGATATTTATTCTTCTCAGTAGCCTTGCGAAATGCAGTTATTGAGTTACTAGCAACCAGCTTTTCCACAAAAAAAAATATTTTAGAAATAAAAAAATATTTTAAAGTGCTCTTAAATAGCATTCTTAAGTAAACAAATTATATAATTTTAAATAAGAGTTATAATTTTGTTATTAAGAAAAAAAAATAAATATTGCTTACCGTCCACTCTAATAGAATTTTTAAGACTATGTTATAATATCACTTGTGTTAAAGTTTTTTTTTATTCTCTCAGTTTGAAGCTATTTTTCTAGCTTATTACATTTAAAAACCGTCAGAATATTTCTCTCTTCTTTTTAAAGCCATCTAAAGTACTTTTAACTGCTTTCAAAAGTTTTGTAAGCTTGCTATCAAGACATAACTATTTCACAAAATACATTGCACAGTTTTGTTGAATGTCACACAGTCAGCTATTTAACTGCAAAAAGATCACTCTCTCAAAATAACACACGCACTTATTTACTTTGCTCGCACACTTCAGTTCACCGTATTGATGGCAACGAACTAACACGTTGTAAGGTCGACGTAGAACTAAAGGTTTTAAGCAGGGAAAAGTGTTGTTATAAAAATTAGAAAACTTCTTTCACCGGACCAGTATGCATATGTGCATGCATGTGTGTGTGTGTGTGTGTGTATGCAGAAGAAATCTGAGAAAAGCCATCAACAACTTCTTTCAAAACTTCCTCTGCGCAAAGCATGTACAAATACCAACACAGCAACACCAGTTGCTGACAAGATGTTGCACTTTAAAGAGCATAAAAATCTCTCAACCTTTAATGGTTGCTTACTTTGTTGTCATGTTGTTTTTGTAGTCTTCTTGCGTGGTGTGGAGCAAGATGATGCCTTGTCTGCATTGCATTGTAGTTAGCAGACAATGAGCAGCTAAGATATCATCATCATCATGATGATGAGGCAAAATGGAAAAGCAACATTATTAAAAGTAGTTATGTATATGAGTATTATCGTCAATGAACTGTTGAATGAGTTCTAAATTAACATGATTCGGAGGATTTCGATTTTTTTCAATGAAATAATAGAAATTTAAATTGATTCTTCATGAAGTTGCTTATGTAATTTTTTGTCGACCTTGCACAAGACCTGTTCTGGATTTCATTTTAATAAAGTGAAGCATTTTTACCTGTAAATATTCCCCTGCATATATAATTTTTTTATAACATATGTATGTAAATGAATGAAAATCTTTTTTGGCAACATTTTTTTGATTCGTGTACAAAAACATAAAAGTATTCTCCTACTAAAATATTTGATATACAGATTTTGTAAATTAAAAAAAAAAATTATACATTACATTGAAACTGGCTGCACTTAAGATATGTTATCTTTAACATAGAGAAGAAAGCAGTAGCAGTAGCCCTCATATATAAGCTTGCTGTACAACAAATACACTACTAAACATATATTCTTACATAGAGTACCACCTTCAACGTCATTTGATATGCTACGTGCTGTTAAGAAGTGACTCCCTGCTGTATCTTTACAGAGCAGACTTCTTTAAATAGCAATTTATTTATACTCTTCACCAATGTGCGTCGCTCTTCGCCTTCAGTTGTTTTTATAAGCACAGTTCCACTTAAGCAATTGCGCTTGACCTGCTGCAGATATCTTCCGCACAACTTTGGGTGAGTACCGCGTGGTAGCTAGCATCTATTTATGTTAAGATCGTACATTGACCGTAGCTGCTTTAGCATTTGATGCGTATGCTCTCTTCTTATTATTTAAAGTCTCGGGAATTTAGCCTAAACATGTTCATTACTATTGGTTTTTAATAAGAAATTTGGTGGCTGCAAACTATGTATCCATTTAATTCATATCACATCACCTCTTATAACATCATGTGAGTGCAAGTAACATAGCACACATGCAGCCTCACATCTTATCGACGTTCACATATTATCATATAATCAAGGAATGTCACATCAAAGGTATTCAAATAAAATTACACCATATCAACCGGGATCACATAATATATCAAAATTTCGTTTACAAACACATCACAGGAGATCATATTAACCAAAGAATTATCACATAATATCATATCAAGATATTATATTAGTTAATATCACTTTACGAACAATCACATCATTTTAAGTGATGTCATAACAACTGTCAATACATACGATTTTGTCATATAACAAGAGCAGATATCAAATCGCGTTACAGAGTCACATCATATCAATTCTTCACATTAGTTATTATCACATAAACAACAATCATATCATATCAAATATATTTAATGAGACATCGTACAATTATAAGCATATTACATGAGATCATACCAACCAAAACTCACTTCACATAAATTGATATCACACTATTACATCACATTAACTCATATCAACTATAGTCAAATTAGGTCAGTTTATACCATCACATTACAACCAAAATCACAACATGTGAGTATTTATTGTTTCAAGCACAGCTACACATAACGAGGTTGCCTCATATGGACCATGTTCGCATCACATGAGTTAATATCACATTTACTGAAAACACATCGACTGCAAATGCGATCATATCACAAAGAGTTCATCATACCATATTAAATTGTTAAACATGTCGTATTTCTCCATGTGATATTGCATCAAACATGTCATAAGTTTACCACGCTTATGTTTTGGAATGATTGAACTGCAGTAAACATAAAATTAAAACGACGAAATATTTCATCATTCTATTAGTATATAAAGTCACAAGCAACAGTACGTGATTTCAACTCAAAACCATTCGTATGCTTACCTCATACAAGTACTTGTATAATGAAATAACTACGGAATCAATTTTCTTACTTTACGAAGCACATTATTAGTTGGTCCAATAAAAATATGTATTTCCGTTTTTAATATTTGAAAATCGAGAGACAGTCAAGAATATCATAATATATAAAATGGCTGAAATTACTTGATTTGTCGGAATTTGTATCACTCTTATCTTATTATGATTAGATTGATAATGAAATTTCATTAACAGTGCTTTCCGTACTGCCTAGGACAGAACGTTAAATTAACAGTATGTCTGCAATGTATGCGTTGTTGTATATTTTATAGCATATTCTAAGGCGCAGTTATAAAAATTTGTGATTAAGTAGATTTTAAGTTTCATTATTTTGAAAATTTAAATGCCTAAATTTTCTTAGCACTTATCTGTCGAAGCTTTTGTGATAAAATATTAGTTCTAGTTAAAAGAAATCTATTATTTTTTCCAACAGATACTCTTTGTAATCTGTATATGGCGTTGTATAATTGCAATCGGGTTACTCTGAACGTCGTTAAGGAGATAAGATTTCGTATTAAAAAACTTTAGTGATAGTTTTATAATTGCATAACTCAGCTCTCGTCCAAGATTGACACCAGCAAAAAGAAACTACGTCATATTTTAAAGTTTTTAGCTGTAAAGGCTAAAACATAAGCTACGTATTTGAAAATGTAAATAGTGTCTATGGTTCTGATATTGTAACAGCCAATTAGCGCAAATTTGGCTTCGTCGATTTTGTTGTGGTAATTTAGATGCCAAAGGAGCACTACGTAATGGAAGGCAAATGTCGAATAATCGACAAAATAATGCAAATCGTCGCTTCGGTCGCACCCAAAAGCTAAAAATATTAGTGCTTAGAATATATATTATATGAAATAAGTTCTAAACTTTTGGATTGAAATGGGTGTTTTTGATGATATGACAGTGATATCTCTAATACAAAATTTTCTTACTGTATATCTCCGGAAATGTTTATAGTAAAATACACACTCTCCTTTTTCCTCTTGCTATCTTTTTATTTCTCTCTCTCATTTTTATAAAAAAGGTTAAAGCAATACCCAAACGATTTATATATGAATTTATATGTTAAAAAAATTACATTTTAAAGAGTGTTTAAATTAGCTGCATAATTTTTGTTAGAGTTTGACCCCTTGAACATAAGATTACATATCATATTTTATGTAACTTCTACAATAATTTCCTTCTTTTCTCTTGGCACTGCTAAAAAACATGTTAATAAACTAACAACTTCTGAACCTTTTGTTTTTATTATATATTAAAGGTTCATCGTTAAACCACTTTAAATTATATTCTACTACTAATTTTTAATATCACTGCGCATCCGTTTTTTGAGTAATAGAAATATAAATGCTTGAGCCGATTGCCTGAGAAAATATATATTATCTAAAGGCTTCAGTACAAAATAAAAGTAAAGAAATCATAAAAGCCAAAACAACAATACACCCAAAAAAAATATATATATATATTGCAAAACAACACCACACACTTTGCAACTAAGACGGCCTTTTTTTGGTCCCACTCTTAAAAGGCTGCAATAAGCAATAAAATTTACACCTCACATAAATCCTCTGGGGAAAGAAAATTGATCCTAAATAACAGCACATAACAAAAGAGTACAAGCGCGCAACAACAAAAACACAATAGCCATAGAAATTAAGTGTTGTTGCACTTAAAGAAAGATATTGTGTCGATACACGTGCATTTACATGTGTCTTATGATACTTTTAACTTGTACTTGCAACGAAATGTTAACACATGTCAGCCTTTTGAGTGTATTAGGTTTGTGTGTGTGTAAATGTGGCGATATAAATATTTATGCTTAGACAAGCAGCGTGTGCGCCCAAAATGACCCAATTTCCATGGGCAACTACGCTTAACTGTACTTAGTTGTCCATTCGCAATTTAATGCCACCACTAACGCCCTCAAGTGCATGGATATTCATTAACTTCAATGTCACCGTTACCCTGTCTAAAATCACTGAGCGCATTCGCATGAAGGCAGAATTTATTGAATGGAGGTTAGAAAGGAGTCAATGGGTTCAACAAAAGCACTCACTGGTAAATTTATTTGAACGACTTTGTATAAAAGCCTAATCTCTTCGCAGAATTTGCAGGGTAACTGGAGTATTTGTTTGCGGTGTTGGTAATTAATTGATTTTGGGAAATTGGAAATCGACTGGAATGTTTTCATAAAGTAAATAGCAATTTATAAAGAAAAGCTATTCCAAATCAAATAGCATTGTCATTTCAAAAACTGTATTTCTTTAAATTTTAATTAAAAAATTTTTAATAATATTATTATAACTATATTTTTATAACTTTGAATCGAAGTTATGAATGGTTGTTAACATTATGTTAAAATTTTTAATCTACGCTCTGAAATGTAGACAAACGTTTTAAGCATGTCTGCTTTGTGCTCATAATATGGTATACTATTTGATAATTTCGAATAATGAAAAAAACCACAAATTTAAATTTAAAAATATAGAATATCGAAATTAACGAAGCTTTGCATTTTAGTTTTTGTATAATGAGAAGATAAAAAAAATTAAATATAAATATAAGTACATATTTAAAAACAGAATTACAAGTTGTTAATATATAATTGAAGTTAACTTATTTAAATTTAATTTTTTAATTTTATTATTTATTTTTCTCCGAAAATATTACTGTGAAGTAAACATTGAGTATAACTTTACAAGATCAGTGTAAGAGCTTTTAATAGACCTATATA